CCTTCGTTTCTTACCCTGTTCTTCCCTGGCTGCTCTTGTCCGTTTATTCCATATTAATTCAGTGGGACTGTTCAGACGCGTATAAACAAATGCTTGAGTGTTGGCGGGGTTGTGGCCTTACACGCTTTAGAACAGAGACCGTGTTGTCAGCCCCCAGCAGCCCCACATACTGGGGACAGAGTTACGGCCTAAGGCACGTGACAGCACTAGAGGAGACTGCGCGTTCCCCTTCCCTCTGCTTTTCGTTCTTATCGGAGCCAGGGGAATATCAGAAAGTATTATCCTCTCAATTCATAGGATTCCGAGCAGAAGTTTCTTAAAATCACTGAATAGTTTTCCTTTTATTTTTACCTACTCTTCTGCTTGCCACGCCACCCAAGTTTTATTGCACAACAAAAACCGAAAAGGTTTATTGTACGCAGTAAAACTAAAGTCCCTTGCCCAACCCTTGGACAGGTACTACTTCTGAATAAAAATGGAAAGTCCTTGAAAAGTTATGAAGGTGGTTTAAAAAAAAAAAAAATTCTGTGCAGCAAAATTGCAGTATATTTAATGGCAAAGCAGAGTGAGAGGAGTTGTGGGTCTCTCTTTCATACACAAATGTCTGGACACATATGTATGTGTTTGGGTTTTTCTTTTTTTTTTTTTTTTTTAAAAAAAGTTTTCTGTAGAGTGGGAAATCTCTGTCAAGTCCCAATATTCAGTGGGAATATCTTTTGGAAGTTGAAAAACTTGAAACAAATATTGCCTGTTCAGGAAGCCTCTGTCTTCCTTGATCTAAGCTGAATGAATAAAGCTGATGAGGGTCATTTTTAAGACCTGTTTTAAGTAACTTTGAAGGGTAGTAAATCTGAGGAGTTATCTTAGATGCATTCCTTAGGACAATTAACTTTCCATCTAAGTCAATAAGCCTTCTGTTGCTTTGCTGACTCTGAAGCTGGGAAGGCTGTTAACATGATTTTGTTGGCTAAAACTAATTGAGATGTGTTCTGATATCACAACGTGCCCCAGCACCAGCCTCTTTGCACAGCTGATAAAGTGTTTGGAGGAGGCACCCAGTGAAGTATGAATTACCTTAGATAAACTCACAGGAGCTTTATTTATTTTTTTTTCAGGACAAAAATACATACACATTGTCAGTAGCTAGTAGGGTACAGAAAAATTCGTAAAGATTTTTAGAATTAAGTTGTTCATGTTTTTTATTAAAGTTCTCTTAAAGAATTTTTACCACCACTGGAACATTCAGGAATGTGTATATCAAGGAAGAGAAATTAGTAAATTAATGGTATCTGGATTTTATATGACTTTTTTTTTTTAAAAAGGAGTATTTTTATAAAGTCATACTTGAGATATTTAAACATGAATAAATATTCTAATTATTTTCATCTTTATTTTAAGCTAGTAAAGAAAAAAATAAATACTCCCTAATTTTCTCTTCACTGCTACAGTCTTTTGTTTCTTGACTATTTTCTAAGGGCCCGGATCTGGTTATCTTTTTAGCCGTAGGACTTTTTATAACCTGAGAACTTCTGTTTGAGCCCTGAAAACTACCATGGGTTACATTTTGGGGAAAGCATTTAACTTTGTTAAGTTATTAATCAGAATCTATGTTTCTTTTCATTTAAAAAGTTGCTTGCCAACTGTGGAAGAAAAAAACCCAACAAACCACCAACCAGTTTTTTCCCCTGCTGCTTTTAAAATAACTACTTATTGTGTTTGAAGATGGCTCAACCCAGCAATGTTTAGGCACGGAGAAATGTAGGCAGAATTCCCAGGGTGTTCAGGCTTGGAGCTTGGCGGGGACGGACGGATGGACTGGGCAATTCTCAGTTTATTACTGCAGGAGGCTAATATATATGACACGTAAGCACTTCTGAGGATGAGTTCTGATTGAATAATCTTGTGTGTGGTAATCTGCTAGTATTCAGTTGAGGAAAACAGTTGAAATAATTGGCTTCACTGCTGGCTTTTTATTTTATCTGTGTATGTGGGTTTATTGTTTCTTTAAGATGATACGAAGTGGAAAGTGTTAAACCTCACCAGAAAACTGCCCATGCATCTTACAAACATGTACTACTATCTACCTCACCTTCGAGAATATGAAGATGCCATTTTTCCAAATGTTATTTTTGGGCAACAGAGAACTGGAGGTAGGAAATAAAGTTTGGCTTTTATTTTCTATGTGTTTATATTTTATATTAAGTTCTAGCAACGAAGCATAACTCAAAGTTCAGAGTGGGTTTTCTCCCTAAACTTTATAATGTTGCCAAACTGAAAAAATCTTAATGGGGATGGCAAAAGCACTTTTACCACTTGCATCCCAGTTTCAAGTCTTTACCCCAAAGTATGCTGATAAACCTCTTCAAATATCAACAAAAAATAGCCATAATTGAGAAACAATATTATTTTTGGTTTTAGTCATATATTCATATAGCTAAGATTCATTAGCTGATCTTTTTTTCTTACAAAATTAGTGTGAGTGAGGAAGTGAAGGAGAATTTATAATGCACTCAGTTTTGCTAAAGTTAGAAGTAAATGGAAAGGTGATGTGATCATTTAGAGAATATTAATAAATCTTCAATGTAACTTTTTCATCCACATGAGAAATCAGCTGACATGTGCACAAATTATAATGAATTCCAATGAACTACAATACAAATTATAAAGTTACGTCATCGCCTAACTGTCATGTGATAGGTGAAAAGAACATTGAAAAGCAGCAAGCAAACAAGGAACTAGTCAACATTTTTGCTGGGTTTTGTATTTTGTTGAGGTTTTGACTTTTTTCTAGGGTCATTTTATATAAAGAAACATTGGCAGCGCTTTTGATTTAGCTACAGAACCAACTTGGCCATGCCCGTGACAATGGATAATTTCCTACAGTCTTCTCACTAGTAGGTGTAGTTGTAGCAGTGTGATCTAGTGATGCAGTTCTCACTGGAGTACCCATAGGTCAGGGTCAGTCAAAAATGATTTGCCAGAGACCCTTAGAAAACCACGTACATTCACCAGCAAGCAAAAAAAAAAAAAGAAAAAAAAAGGAGGAAGGAAAGTAATAAGTAATACCAGAATGCTCCGTGTTTATTTTGCATTTATTTGCACATGAAAATCACAATAGCAAGACCGCACTTTAACAAGTACAGGTTGACCTTCAGCGTGTAAAACCAAACAAAACCCTGATGGTTGAGCAGGTTACATGCTGGGAAGGAACGTTGGAACTTCAGCATTTTTGAGCTGACGCTGGCACGGCGGATGAAGTCTGGAGCAAGTCACTAACTGCACCTACTCCTTTCCTTCAAAATCTGCTGCTTCCTTACCAGCCTCACGAGGTTTTGGTCAATAGGAATCTTCTGCAAGGACTAAGAATTCCACAGGTTTACTGAGCTGTATTAGGTCACTGATTTAGGTAATGCCCATACCAATGAATAAAGACATCCTGCTTACAATCTAATGATGTAATGTAGCACAGGTTTGCTACTAGTGGAGTCTTTGCCAGAGGCGATTTCAGTTCCTTTCTTAATAACAACAGCATGTAAGTTCCTTTCTTCTTATTATTGATAATATCAAAGCCATGGATTCCTATCAATTACACCACTGAGAGATATTTTTTTAAAAAAAATTTTTTTTTTGAGTTACGCAGCACTTGCCTCCTGTGAGAACTTGCTGGTTAAGCAGTGTTGGTTTAACTCTTACTACCAAGATCTCTGACTCCATACCAAGAGCTAGCGCTAATTTTGCAATACCCACTTTTGAAACTAAGTAGCAGATACCTACATGTTTGCCAGAGGTAGTACTATCTCCAGGTTCTCAAGTGTATCCAGTCTACACAGCTATTAACATAGACATAGGTCTCTAACCTAAACTTAGCTGGAGGTATCTCCTCTTCCATGTAGTAAGGCAAATACTATCGCAGTCACCAAGTAAACCAGCGAATATTCATGGTTATAATTATTTTCTAACTCGATAGTCCCATTCAGGTATTCTCATGGTCGCATCAAATCAAAATTAAAATGTAATTTCAGTTTCCCTTTATCTGAGGTGAAATTACGTGGCTTGTGGACTTCTTTCTTTGCAGTCTCACTGGTGATGGGTATTCCTACTGTGAAAAGGGAAAAACAACATTATCTGATCAATACGCTGCATTCCCTGTTGTATGAACTTCCCGAAGACCAAAAGAATGACTGCGTAATAATCATCTTTGTAGCAGAGGTAAGTTTGCACGGACAGGTGCAGTATGCTGATAAAAAGGCAATATAGAAATTTGTATCTTAGTGTCATGGTGTAGGAGATGCTGCAAAATGCTTCGGCCAGGCCTTTGGGAGGAATTTCTTCAGGGGTGGAGGAGATGGTGAGCAATTAGTGCCTCGTTCTTCATATGTGGAAAAAACCCATAACTCAGATGATTGAAGGGGAAAAAGTCTCATTACATTTACAAACAGAGCTGTTGCAGTCAGATTTTTTCAAGTAAACCCATAAGAATTCATTATTTATCTCTGAAAGTAAAGTACTCCAAGAATGAAAAGTAAGCCTTCCACAGAACCTGGAAAAAGTAAACTTAGTCTAACAAAAGTACAGATTATTTATCTGCCATTTTGACATCATATATCTTGCAAAGTACCTTGGCATGCTGGAGCCTTGCCCTCTGCATGCGTATTGCCATTTCTTGTGAAAAAGAAAACTGTTCAGAGACATGAACGTTCCGTGTTTGGGAAAATAAACAGTGCTCAAGGTAAAGTATTACGCGTAAATTATTTTTTTCTCATTCCAAAATGTCTTGATTACATTGGAAAAAGGCTACCAAAGGGAATTGGTGAAAGTTACTTGCAGGTAAGAAGACTGTGCAATTATTCAATTGCACTTAATATTTATTCTTCATATTTCTTTGTCCTTCCATAAACAACATTAAATTTCATACACATATTCATTAACAGTTTGCCTTTTTGTTCAATCATCGCTTACAGCAGCTTTTGCAACTGTCATGCTGTCAAACAGAACATAGTTCACTTTACTGAGTTAGGTCATGACTTCACTTCTCTGTTTGGATCACAGCAATAAGTAGATAGGCCCAATTTTACTAGCTGTAGTTCCTCTTTAGCTTACTTTTCAGGAGCTGAAGTTATTTTACAGTTACGTATTTCCCCCTGAAGAGCCCTGGTAGTGATGAGCTTTGCCTTGCTGCCATTCAGAAAAACCTTCTCTTACAGGGCTTCAGAGACGTCTTGGAGTTTTTAAGGGTTAACTTGTGAGTAGTACAGTTTCCCCCGATAGACAGTCCTAAAGTGGCACTTTCAACAAAGAGTAGCTTGGGTTGTAGTAGCAGTCCATTTCAGCTAATTTAGGATTAAATTGTAATTGTGAGAGCCAGTCTCTCCCCTTCCTCCTGTCCCCAAAGCCACGTGCTGGCAGCTTCCATTTCTCAGGCACGCAGGTTGATCGTGCTGATAGGAGAAGTGATAAGAACACGTAATTATGAGAGGAGGGCAGGTGTGTTTGCTGATCACAAATCCACACCTTCCTTTTTCCCCAGAAAGTTTCAGAAGATCAAGTTAGATGTTTACATCATGGGTTAACTCAGAGTAACTTACTGACTGAAAGTGAGCCGGAAAGTTGTTGGTATTTTTTTTTTTTACCACAAATCACATCCTTTTTACATATTACAAAATTTGAGCTATAGCTGGTAACAATTATTGGTGGATTTAAAAGAAAAATCTGAACTGCTAAGAGAGTTATCGCTTTGGAAATCACATCCATAAAACTTAGCACTGTTTAATGTCATTAACAGATGTTTTCCACGCTAAAACTGTTATTTTTATGGAACAGCAACAATGAAGAAGTATGTCCTCAAAATTTCCAGACTAAGAGCCATAAGTGTGTTATATTAGGAAGAAACTTTAAATAAAAATTTTAAGTATTGCTAGCTTTAGAAGATTTTGCTTAGGTGACTTTTCTCAACAGCCTCAGGCCTCTCTTGTGATTTTTGGATGATTAACCTGAAACGGCTGTTTTTACTGACAGTTATAGGACTCTGCTTTTCTAGCATAACTGAAAGCTGAAAGTGGAACAGAATTTTGTGCAGAAAATGGCTTGGCCTCCTGCCGGAGCAATGAAAAAACCCAAAATGCAGAAACCATTGCTGGAGATCGTTCAGTTCTACTTTCAATTACATTGAAAGTTCAGTTGCCTTGAAACCCCCATACCGTCCTTTAGTAGAAATGCTGTTATAACATATTGCTTTTGTTTGGAATGAAAAGAATTAGAGACTAAAAATGAAGTGTTTGCATGTACATATTCCCTGCAAAATGTTGCTTAATACAAAAATGGGTGACTTGAAATGCAACTCCCCTTCTTTTCTTCAGGTGAGTGCAGAATATGTTAACAGCGTTGCAGAAAGTGTTAAAACCAGGTAAGTCCTATAGAGTGTAACACCAAACAGCTAGTAAACATGTTTTGAGCTTTTATGGAAAGAATTGGAGCATTTCAGCAATAAATTACAACTCTACCGTACTGAAAAGGAACTGCTAAGAAGTGAGGGAAAGGTGTGCTCTTAATATGTGTATCGTAACACGCTGCGGAATTCAGAACAGAAAGATGGATATCAGTTTATTTTCCTTTTCTTATTTCATAAATATGCTTTAACTAATCAGGCGAGGTCTCAGCTTAAGCCTTTGATAAATATTTACTTGAACTGAAGTCTTTTCCCCATGAAATTAATGATGCAGTTCAAGGTACCTGAGACTACGTGTATTAGGTCCCCACTGACTTCACGGCCCTGCAATGTAGTCTGCTGTCTGTCGTGGTTTCTGGGTGGCTTTGTTTCCTCGTTTGCCTCTTTTTCACGAAAGCAATGGAATTTGGACAACAATCGGACTATATTTATAATGTTAAATAATATTATATGATGGGTAACATGAGATGGGTATCTTTTGCTGTGCCAAATTAACGTAAGAGCTATCAAATGAAGGCTTGGTTCCCACTGCAGTTTTGCTTGCTATCGTCATTCTTTCCCGTAGATGTTTACAGCATTGTGTGCATGTTAAAAACCTTAGAGCAGCTTGTGATGCACTTAATTTTTAATGTTAGTGTTTTTTCATTAATTATAGAAAATGGGGAACTCAGTTCTGAGAAATCTATTAAAAACTGAAGAATAGAGAGGTTGTCACATATTCTGGAGGAAGAGGGAGACTTGATTCCCAAAGTTGATTACACATTTTTTTGGTGACTTTGAAAATGGAAAATGTAATACTTGGAGCAGAAACTAGACCCAGACACCCCATACCACTCCAGGCCAGTATCATTTTGGCTAGACTGTAGAATTAGAGCAAGCGTAAGGAAGCTAGGAGCTCTCATGCAAGGGGAACAGTTGCATGTAGGTCTAGATAGCAGATTTGGTTGTCAATTACTGCTGCGTTTTGGCAGCCATCTCAGGATTACGAGTAAGCATCTATAGATGCAGGACGGCCAGGATTTCTGAGACATGCTTCAGTGTTTTTTGTGGCTTTGATGAGTTACAGTCCTGCCTGTTCTGATGGTTGTCAAAGACCCCTTCCTGGTTCCTAATTTACATTCTGTGTGACTTGGTTTCTTTGCTAGAGTTGTGAATTCCACTTACGGAAGAACAGACCTAACTCTGGGGAGCTGCTGTCTGTGGTTGCCCTCAAAAGTCTTTGTGAGGAACGGGGTCTCACTAAGCTTCTCTTCACAGTTTCCCCCAAGAAATCCAGTCTGGAGTCCTAGAGGTTATTTCTCCACCTGCTTCTTATTATCCAGATCTTTCCAACCTGAAGAAAACATTTGGGGATTCGGAGGACAGAGTAAGGTAAGACAGCTTTATAAAACCTAAGAACTTTTGCTAAGAGTATGAAGTGGACAATGCTGCAAAAGTCAGTGTCATTTGAGCTGATAATGTTTTTGTATTTCAGAGCTAATGGACCTCAAGTGTACTTTTTAAAAACTTATTACACAAGGGGATCTTGAGAAAAGCTATGCCGCACATCAGCTTCAGCGTGAGAGCCAAGGCTTCTCCTTTGGGTCTTGACTCTAGGCATACCACAGGTCTTAAACCAGATGGATAATGCCAAGGGGTGACTGACAGGCTGGATGGTCTGGTCATATATATAGGAAAATGTTTTATGTGACAGATAAGGAAGAGGCTCTGTGAAGACACAAAAGAAACCCCATGCGGCCCCTTAGCTTACTGGTAACAGCTACTGTGGGTTTAATTAATGACCTAACTTTTGGCGATCGTGGACTTTTTATGTTACTGTTAATAATATATCCTAACCGGTGATTTCATTCACTCGTGTGCCACAAATTCACCGAGACAGAGACTATAACCTAACAAAATTTATTTATTGTAAGTGATTTTTGTTTGATAACAAGAACTAATTTATCAGAAGCTACCCCAACGATGCAGCAAGAGAGCTGCTGTACTGAGAGTTTAGGTTGAAGGAAATCAGCAAGTGTATGTATGCATGTATATTGGTTTATAGATAAACCACCTATCTTTCAGAGCATAGACAAGTTTACATACTTATACTTAAGTTTCAGATTTGATTAGATTTGAATCAGATACACTTTTATGTTAATTCAATACAGATAAATGGTTCTCTGGTCTTTTAGCATTGATTATCAAACATCAGCTTCATCCTCTTGTAAAATAAGAGACTGTGCTTTGTAGAAAAAAGTCTGTGTTTACATTTAAACCGGAAGAAGTAGTTTATTGACCTGTTTTCTGTGCTGCTCATCAGTAAAAGCACTTAATTTTAGATCTTCAAATAATCATTGTGTGTTGATCTCTACTGTTTGTAATATAATGAATAGAATCTTTAAGTCATTTGACATGAATATACTTCTTAGACATTTTGTTTCAGGCTGCATTGATACAGATTAAAATTTTTTGCTTAGTTAACATTAACTTTTATAGGAAAATCAAATTATTTACAAATGTTTACACTGATTATAGAGGAATTTTTATTCACTTAACAATGAGTTAGAATACTCAACCTTACAATTTTACTGTAGAGAAAAAAACTGCAGAGCATTAGAAGTGCTTTCATTAGAGAAATAACCCTTGCAACCCCCCAAAAAAGCTTATCAGAATTTGCTGCTTATGTTTAGGTGGAGAACTAAACAGAATTTGGATTATAGCTTTTTAATGCTATATGCCCAACATAAGGGAACATTTTATTTACAGGTATGTTCATGTTATCATTAAGTAGCTGCAATACATCTATACTGATTATTAGCTTTGGCAATTTTAATTTGTTTCAAAGGCCTCAATAAAAACAGCAATCTGTTGTTATTCTCTGTGTATTTTGCCTGTGCTCTTTACAAGCATCCGCATATTTCTGTATTTATATACCTATTGCAGCCAGGTGCTATTTGATTAAACCCATCTGTACCTTCCTGTCATTTGTGAGGTTGAATAACAAGGTAACTGAAGCATGAAACCTGTATTTGATTAGGTTAAGAAAGTCAAGAGTTTGATGTGTTTTCATTTGGTGCAGCAAGACAGAATAGTGGTGGGAGGTCCAGGTTATAGCTCACATCACAGTGAACCAAAAAAACCCCTACAGATAGTGATACTGGAGACAAGGTTAAACTGCAGGTTGGTACAGATCCTAAATTCTCCAGAGGATTTAGAGTGTCAGACTTAGGTTTAGCCATCATTTTAGATTTGTGCTAATTTGCACGCCATAAAGATGACAATCACCACCAGAGATTCCCAAAATTTATCATGACTTTTCAATAATGAAACAGACCCATAAAATTTCACATAGCTCACGAACGTCAACAGTTTTAAAAAGAGTTTGGAACAGCATTTTGCTTAGTTCTTAAAGTTTTCCTGGGTCTTCTCCTGCTTGAACAGGCCCTGGACTCTGTGCCGTGTAAGTACATCATAAGATTCCCAGAAGCAGAAGAGAAGACCGCAGGAGCAGGCATCTCATACCGTTCTTGTCAGCATTTAAACACAAATGCCTTTGAGCTGGGCTACTCAAGAGTCTACTCTCTGTTCTCAAATTTGGCATAGACGCTCAGGAGACAGGTGGACAAAGAGAAATGTTGTCTACTGAACACTTTAGGTTTACTGGAGAATTTTCCTGTGACTTTCATATATATTTTAAGAACACTAGCCAAGTTTACGAAGTGCACTAGAGCACTGAGGCATGGGAAACACGGTGAAGGCAAATGTTAAGCATGATGCCAGACGCTTAATGTCCCTTTCTGTTATAAAGTTCTCCAAGCATTCATGTTTGCATGGAAATGACTTATGTATTTGTGCTTTTAAAGAAATTTGAGAATATGTGTTTTCTCATCTGGGACATTAATATAAGGACTGAACTGTGTCATTCGGAGCAAAGCCTGGATTGTGACGGTCTGGCAACAGTTATGGCTGCATTCAGAATTTTCTTAGAAAGGAGCTATGCTTTCCTCATATCCTTATGTAGTATATCCACTTCTTCATTTGTGTGTCCAACCTGCAGCTGCTTCTCTAGCACAGATGCTGGTTGGCCCAGAAAATTCTCCATAGAGTACAGCTGAAAAGAAGGAAGACATGCTGCCATAAAGATAGTTATCATCTATCTCCATTTGGAAGCCTTATACTGATGGAAAGCAAATAACCTAAAAATCCCTTTCCTCAGCCTGGTGCAAAGATTTACCTCAGGAATCTTAGGGAAAATTTGAAATAGATTAGACTTTATTTACTGTTTTGTCAGAAATAGTATCATTTGGGTGATCGATACTAACTTCTAAGTTTTGAGAGAAGATAAGCATATGTAATTAGTCTTGATGTCTACAGAACAGTTGATGTCATGAGTCAGGCAAGATCTTTGCTGAATAAACACATAAACACTCCTGCTAGGATATTGCTGAATCAGGATTTAAGCAAGTAGCTTTGTGAAATCCATTGAAGCTAATGGGGTTACACTGGATGAACCCTACCCACTGATCAAACATAATCTTTGAAGACAGACAATAAATTCCATCAGTCATCTTTTCTACTTGAGGCATCTCTTCTACTTTGCCTTTCTTTTTTCTTTTTTTTTCTTTTTTTTTTTTTCCTTTTTTTCCCCCTGAACCAGCCTCTGCTCCTTTCAGGGTTTTTTTGTGAAGTTTTCTTAATCAGTAAAAAAATAAGAGAACTTTGAAATACTTGCTTCCACTTTTACTGTACTTCCTGGAGTCCACCAGAGCCCCTTGAGACATTTGCAATAACATCAGAGACAAGATAATGGGATCTTAGCATAATGATAAAAGCAGGCATTCAAATCCCAACCTCGTAGTGAGGACACGCGTTTTGTTTTCTTTGTGTCCCTGTAGACTTAGTTCATTCTGAAGTAATTAAACATTTCAAATCTGAAAGCATCTTTGAGAAACTCAGGTACAGCAGTTTTTGGGAAGTGTTTGCTATTAGCACTCAGATGAACCAAAAATAAAACATTAAATAAATCTTTGGGTTTTCTTCAGTTAAAATCTGTTATAAACTTTAAATTTAGTTCTATGCTTTTTTTTACCTCATGAGTTTTTTTCCTTGTGGAGTCTGGGGGGAGCTTTGTATATTTATATATAACAAATGTACTGGTAATACATATCGCCAGCAGCACTTATCTGTACACCATTATTACAGTTTCCCTAGTGGTTTTAAGGCCTGAGCAATAGCTCAGTGAAGTCATTAGGAGTCTTTATATTGATTTTTTTTTTTTTCTTCCCTCCCTACTAGACTCTAGGTCAAGCCTGTTATTGGTAGAGCTCCTTACCAAGGAGTAAACTTACATGGAAGGAATAACTTACATGAAAGTGCATTTTTAGCTGAAATTTTCTTTATGCTTGTATGGAAAAAAAAAAATCTTTAGGGAATGAACTATTGCAGGTTTGTTTTCTGTGGAAAATGAGAGAATAAGATTTTTCAGCTTAAGTCTTCACATATTCACTGAACGGTGATTCAAAATATTAAAATACCCTAACATAATTTAGAAAGGAAGATACTTTCCTGTCTGATGCCTACACTTCCATTGTATGCTACCACTTTTTTGTTGCTTCTTCATTTTTACTTCTCTTAGATAGATAACCCACAAAAGAAAAACGAATGGAAACCCATTTATTGTGTGTCATTTAGGGAATTTACATAGCCTTGCTATTGTGCATGTATCTTTTTTCATCTCGAAGCACTGAGGAGTGAAGGGAAATTAGCTGCGATCATGTGTTCTGCTGGCCTTCTCATGGCAATGGGGCAAATGGACTAAACAGTTCATATCTTAAACTTCCTGATCCAGCTGTGTACAGCCACTGCATAATCTCCTTTGGTCGATAAGAGCATATGAGAAACAAGTGGCTGTTAAGCTGAAGCCAGAAAAATTCAAATTAGAATTTGGGTACCACGTACTAAATGTTCAGGGTAATTACGCATAGTGTAACTCACTGGAAAAGAACTGATACTGAAATCTCTAAGCAATGACAGATGCTCTTCAAGAAAATGTGCTTTAGTTGAACACAAATTATGGGGCTCAGTACAGGGTTAAATAAAAAACTGTTAAGGTTCTGCGCTACATAGGGTATCAAACTACATTCTCCAATATTCACTTTTAACTGTCAGCTTCAGAAAAGACTGTTTCAGACTTCTCACTATGCAAAACTACTTTCAGTTCATAACCACACTCACACGCACTTTGCATCACAGCCTCAATATTTTTTCATCTTTACTACTTTTGTACGCTTTCTTCTAGTGTTTCTTGATATGGTGGTCTCACTAGATTTTTGAGATACGCCTCTCTGCCTTTCATTCTTTTTTGGGTGCCCCTCAATTTCTCTTTAAGGATTCTCTGAAACTTTCTTTGATTCCTTGCTCTTCTCCCTTTACATCTAGCTACTGGGTAATCCTCTTAGCTCATTTAATTTCATGCACGATTTCTTGTAAATTGATGTTTGGGGTTTTTTTTTTGTTGTTGTTCTGCATAACTGTCACCTCAACTCAGTCCCCAGATCTCAGAATCTGTTAATAAGCATTCATCTCGATCAGTTTGTCTCCATCTATCTATTTTTCATTATCTTACCATCAGCAAAAGCTGACAGGGTCAAAACAGATCTCTTAATCTTGTCTTTCAGACTTCATTCTACTTCCTCCTGGGTTGACTGTTGACAACGCATTTCTACCCCCGCCAGCCCTACACTTATAGTAATGGCCAAATGCAGCTAAAAGCTGCGGGTCTGCTCTCTCGTGCTCTTGCTGCTGACTCTGCACTGAGTCAGTTGAGGACACAAAACCAGAAGGAAACCGTGTGCTTTTTTTTTTTCTTTTTTTTCTCATAGCATTACTTTTCTACCTATTTAGCTTTCTGAATCAGATTCCAGCGCCACCAGGCAAGCGCCAGGGCCAATGAAGCACAGCAGTTAGTGCAAATTAAGTGTATCATTGCACTGCACCCCAACAACGTTTTCCTGAAAGCTTACTCTCCTCTTCCTGTGTTTTTCACACCCATATGGAATTCAAACCCTGAATTACTTCCTCTGTAATTACTTCTGGAATCCATTTATTTCCTTTGTGTCATTACCTCTAAACTCCTTGTTTGGACTCATTATCCTCAGCTTTAGTAACTGGAACAGCTTCTGGCTTCTCAGTTCCCCCATTCTTCTCTGAAAGCCATGCAAAAATGCAACCAAGGCATTTCCCATTTCCTTGATGGATGTCAGTCTCCTTTTCCGAGCATCCTTTAGCTGGTGCTACAGCTGTATTCGGCTTCAGCCTTTACAACACCTTGAAAGCTCCATGTATTCCTGTCCTTCAGTGTGCTTCACAGCATGTTCCTTCTTTCATGACTAGTATTCCCTGAAACAACTTGCTTTCTACTAGCGTCTCAGTATCTCAGTCACCTTTTAGGTACAACAAAGTCTGCCCAGGCTACTCTACAGAGGTTTTAACCATCTGCTTTAGACGCCTCTCTTTTCAAACAATTTGCGCTCGCTGCTTATCAGTGCTTATGCAACTTCAGTACAAACAGTCTGCTCTCTTCTTCCTTAACCTCTATCTTTTTGCTGAATGTTTTCTTTTAAGTGAGATCTCTTTAAGGTAGAGAGTCCTCCTTTCTCAAAAAAGTGAGGAGGACTCATGGTGTTATAGTCACTCACGTAAATAAATATGTAATGAATTATACTGAAACAGAGATATATGTGGAAGCTAAATACCAATAGTGTAGTTTGGCACATCTTCAGCACGCACTGTACAGCAGTCAAATCCAATGCAGTTATCACTTACGTGTGGCAACATCACCACCACTTGCCTTCTGGTTTTTTTGTTGCCTTTTTTTTTTTTTCCCCCCAGCTGGAAGATGATATCGTAGCCAAACCTGATTATATTCAAAGTATAAAAAACTTTGCTGCTAAACAGTCCCAAGAGTGGATGATTCTCGAGTTCTCCCAGCTTGGATTTATTGGTAAGTATTAAAACTTCAGCAGGGTCAATTGGATTTGGAGCTGTGTATGTCGAGTAGGTCTCACTCGAATTACATTTCAAAGCACAGAAGGACTTGCATATCAAAACTTCCTTGGTTCTTCAGGAAAGGTCCCCCTGAAAGTCTTTTACTTTCTGCACTCTTTAAAACTGTCTTTTTAATGCAGAGTATCCTCAGCATAGCATCTAGTACCTGGGTTCCCATAAGAAGCAAATTGTTCAACCTCGGGGCACTATGTGCCCCTGTAGCATGTAGTCTTCTCAAGAATGGAATTTGAACAATCTATAAAAAAATCTGCTTCCTTTGTGGAGCAGAATGTGCATCATTGGAAAGGTTTTTTCATTATTTTTAGTAGTAAGTTTCTTTTTATATTTTTTCTTTGGTTCTAATATAACTTACTTGTGAAAACACCTTATTAGTGTTAGGTCAAACAAAGCAATGTAACAAAATCTGCTAATACAAACAGCAAGAGAACTAAATGAACAGCGATAGTATTTTAAAAGCAACAATTTTCATATCTAGGTCTTAATTTAAAGATAGTATAGTATTGCCAGTGAAATTGCACGTTCAGCATTTTGAGGAATTATTCAGACTTCATTTCATCTGACACACTGATAGAGGCGACTGGTAGATTTGGGTTTGGAACTAGGATATAATGGCGTGCTTTATTAGTCAACTGGCTGACTGCGTGAGAATATCTCCTGGTGCGGACTGGAAATCTTTTCAAAATCCCCACAAGCTGGAGCAAATCTCCAAAGCTGGGAGTCTGTGATGAAATTTCCACTAAATAACAAAATTACATCCAGGTGTTTTGCACAGCAATAAAAATATCTGAATATGCAACTTCTTGTCTTGCTTTCAGGAAAATTGTTTAAATCAGAAGACCTGCCACTCATAGTGGAATTTTTTCTCATGTTCTATAAAGATAAGCCTATAGACTGGCTTATAGACCACCTGCTCTGGGTTAAAGTGTGCAATCCAGAAAAGGATGCGGTAAGTATGTCTATGAATTTATGACCATAAGTAATATTCAAACAGTCTCAGTGACAAAATTATTTATTTCCAACAAGCGGAATAGAAATCTCTCAAACCTGACTTACTTTGGAATTTGTGGGGACAGATCTGCATAGAGCGGCACGGTGTTTGAGCCCGTTAGGGCATTTGGAGAGGCCTGACTCACAGAAATTCAGATTTTCCACACCATCAGCCTCCATTGGCTCAGAACACAGACAGGACAAGCTCACATCAGCCTGCAGCTGGTCACATAGGCAACCTTGCAGCACCAACAATGAAGAAAAATTTGAATATGTAAACCTATGTGGACTATGGCTTCTCGTAAACTTCTGCTGACCTTCTAATATGAAAGTCAGTAAAGCATACAATTTTACAATCACAGTTGTTTTGAATTTGTTTCCTTTCTTTCAGGAAGTAGGACATAAGTGTTTTGCTTTAAATCTTTTACTAACTGGGAAATAAATTGACTGTTTGCCTGAAAAAAAAAAATGCAGGGAAACATGTAGATCGAACGATCTAAATGATACTTTTGACTCAAACTGAAAGAAACAGTTGTGTTGAATTGCAAAAAGTGCCATTTCTAGCACTACAGGTGAGCCCAATGATATGTTAAGTATTTCTTTACATCCTTTTGCATTCTTTCTCTCACCGGTCTTTGGTGCTGGTCACTATTCACACTCTTCTTGTATAACAGACTGTGCCACGGAGGACTGATGAGAGTTTCTGCTCCTTCTTGGTTTTTAAAGTTCAAGAGTTGTATTTGATTAGTGTAGCCAGTCCCCACTCCGGGTGTTTGTACACGTTGTTTCTGTGTTGATAAGGAAGAAGAGACAGATAGGAGTTGTGCAGAGCAGGAGGGTGATGGGAGCGGAACAAACAAGTTTTACCGTGTAGCAGAGGTGACTCCTGGGGATAGCGGAAGGTCCCTGGTTTTACACTTAGTAATGCCAGTGAGGAGTCTCAATTCCCACTGCATACAGATAGGATTGAGCTTTGAAATCCTAGCCCATGGGTTAGGCTGGCTCATAGGAGTTAAGAGTGAGCCTCAAGTACCTCTAATTTACGTTCTTGCCTGCCTGTGATAACAGAGTAAAAAAAAAGATACTATTACGTTAACATCACCCATTCCAGATCTGTCTAACGCGTGCCAACTTCCATCTAATAGATGAAACATTTTATTTTGTAAGTGACCGTTCTAGCTTCTAAGACCTGATTCATACCTGAACTGAAGCTGCATTCCTGAAAGGCAGGCGGCTCATGTGAGCCCGCTCCAGCCGAGCCAGCGCAGAGTGGTGTCACCAAGTTTCTAGTGAGTTTCACTTCTGCTATTGCAATTTCAATTGCTGCGGGTAGGAAAAACCTGCTGAGCCAAGTCAGTCTCACACTGCTCTTGGGTGGGAATGACCAGTGGCATGACCTACAGGGACCGTTCATGAGATGCAAAAATGGAGGCTGAAAGGACAGAGATCCCAGCTGCTGCTGCTCCTCTGCTTGACAGTGGACTTCCCCAGAGGCGCCAGAGAAGGCAAGCTGACAGAAATCCTCATGCTTTCCCCTTTCCGAGCAACTAAGAGTGTCACTAAGTGATTGCACACTGTATATCACGGGAGGGTCAATGAGGCACTCGCTCGTGGCGTTTACATGCCATGCTGTGGTGATGGGTGTTCGGCACATGTTCTCGGCCTGGGCTGAGTATTAACATACCAAGATTGAGCTACATCTGCTCACCGAGCTGGAAAAGACAGTTTGTGATGATGATAGCCATTGGATTTCTGTGTGGTTCAGAAACTTTGTCATGTTTACCTCCTGTGAACCATCATCCAGCTCTGGGGTCCCCAGTACAAAAAGAGATGTGGACCTATTTGAGCAGGTGCAGAGGAGGGCCACGAAGATGATCAGAGGGCTGGAGCATCTCTCCTATGAAGACAGGCTGAGAGAGTTGAGGTGGTTCAGCCTGGAGAAGAGAAGGCTCTGGAAAGACCATATTACAGCCTTCCAGTACTTAAAGGGGGCTTATAAGAAAGACGGAGAAAGACTTTACTAGGTCCTGTTGTGACAGGGTAAGGGGCAACAGTCTCCAGTTGAAAGAAGGCAGACTGGCCATAAGGAAGACATTTTTTGTGGTGAGGCACTGGAACAGGTTGCCCGGAGAAGCTGTGGATGCCCCATTCCCAGAAGTGTTCAAGGCCAGGTTGGATGGGGCTTTGGGCAACCTGGTCTAGTGGAGGGTGTCCCTGCCTGTAGCAGGGGGGGGTTGGAACTAGATGATCTTTAAGGTCCCTTCCAACCCAAACCATTCTGTGATTCTGTGATCATATGCAGCGGCGTGAATCTATCAATGTAGTGGGGACTAGCAGGCTGCAGAGGTGAAAGCCCTGACTCAGTGAGGAGCTTTATCTCAGTTTCTGCACAAATGACCCCACCAGACCTGTGCTATGGATTATTCTCAGGTGCTACCATAAGTAGTGCTGCTGTAGCATAAAAGGAGACATGCTAGAGACTGCATTATTATAGGGGATGAACCGCAAACCCTGTCAGAAGAAAGATCACAAATTTATGCTCTTATGATGATTTTTTTTTCTAGCAAAACTGTAGTGTGCTTTTCAAAGAAACAGCTGCCAATAAATCAATTTGCATGTATTGTGCTTTTACATTGTTTTGCTGAACATCTGCTGTGGACAAACATAAAAATATGTAGTTCTTTTTATAGCCTTCCAGGTGGTTTTGAACTTTTAATTAGTACTAAGGTGGAAAACATCAATCCCCCCATGAGTTTCAGTGTTTAAGCCAGCTGAGTGAAGGCTTTATCACTTCCAGCTTTAGAAGGAATTGATGTAGTTTATGTAACATTTTTCTTTTATAGAACTGAAAGCACTTGACTGAAGAGGTAAACATGTTATCCTCTCAAATCTAAAGATGTGAGACCTGGGATACAGAGAAGTTAAATGATCTTCCAAACTCATACAATAATTCTGTGGCAGAACCAAGAGTAGAACCCAGGGGTCTCATTTTAGCTCTTTGCTCTGTTCTGTGCCTTGATGCTTCATTATGTGTCATTAATTACCGTAGCACGTTTGCTTCATTGTATCAAACTATGATGTTCTTTAGATATAGAACAAAAATTACATTTAAAGAAGTAATTTGCTATCATTCAAAAAATCAAGAAACTCAGAAATTACTACCAATTATGGTTATTTAATTCCCTGGTATATGTCATGTCACAAAGTGTACTAAGATGGACAAGCAGGATTCAAATACAGTATCGAAGGGCTCTATGTAATTACAAGATAGAAGATACATAACTTATGCCATAATATAGTGCATTATAAGCCTCTCAAACATAGCAGAAAGAGCCAAAATGCTAAAAATTGGAATATAACCAGAATCTATCTCAAGAAGGTCAGTTTTGCTCAAAACAGTTTAATTAGAATGATATGGCAAGGCAAATTAAATTAAATTTGCCAGAAACAGTTAAAAAATCAATCAGTTTCAGGTTCGAGGTCCATTTTTGTCACTCTGAAGTGTGATTGACGGTATACAGTGCAAAAATCTCTGAATTAGTGGTGGTTGAGCCTTTAAATCTACATAGCACCACGAGTGGAATTATGATTTCAGGTCTAGAAACAGTGTATTTGAAATAAGGTGACTGTTAATCTAAGGATTACTTATTTAAATATGGATAAAAAACCGGGACCCATACCCTCAACTACATAATGAACTCCCTTTTACTTTCTTTCCAGATACACTGTGAAAATGAAAAGGCAAAGTTACGTATCCGTGCTAAACCATCTCTCTTTCAGCATGTGGGAATTTATTCATCATTGGCTGGGAAGATACAGAATTTGAAAGTAAGGATAAGAAATTAATGCCCTATTTCTAAATTATAGGCTTGTGTTCTGACTTGTTTCTCAGATCAGTTTCAAGCATTGCATCTTTGGCATTAGGTGGCATTTCCATATGCAAGAACTTTGGTTTACAGATTTGGGGGAGAATATTGATCTGGCATCTAAACTGCAGGTGGGACACACTGCTTCTGCACAAACATCTTTGAATCTCTAATCTGAACACTTGTACTGGTCATAGGAGCATTTAATGGCCTGTAGGAACCCTCTTCACAGCACAAGGTTTCATTGTGATGAAATAGATTGTATATTTTTTGACACTAAGGTAATGATTTTCTGGAATAGCTTGCTGTACTAACTCAAGATATTTGAGCATTTCTTTTTCACTGTATGAGTGAAATTACATTTCTTTATATCCAACAGGATAAAGATTTTGGCAAAAATGTGCTACATAAAGCACATAATAATCCACCTGCAAATGTGTATACAAGCCTAAGAATTTACCAGCAATACACCTTGGAAAATGTTTATAAAGGAAAAGACTGTTTTTGGGCTTCAGCTCCAGTAGCAGGGGACTACATCAAGTTCACCTTTTTGAATCCACTAAAAGTTGAAAAGTAAGTATTACATGATATGGAATATGGAAGCCTACATATACTCAGTTTGGAAATGACTGAATCTGTTCAAAATCCCCAGTGCTCAACTGTTTGCATAAACCATAGCTTCATTACTCACAAAAAATCCAGGATTTGCTATTTATTTGCTCCCCTTCTTGAATTCCCCTCCTGAAATACATTTCTTTCTTGGCAATTAGAGAGCTTCTTAATTTTTTTTCCCTTTTATTTCTTTGGTTAAATATTTTAAATTCTCTTATGATAATTCTCAAAGGCATTTGTTTGTAACTAATGAATTTCATCAATGGAGTCAGTGAAAGGTTTATTTCTGTAGTTGTCAACAGAAAGGCTGTTTGCATGATGGCAAGTCAAAGGCCATGTCCCAGACCAAACACTTACCAGTGTAGGTGAAAGCAAAGAGAAAATATCACTATTGTGGTGAAATAATAAAGGTGGGATTCAGTTGAAAATTCAGACTTGAATGTAGGTGTTTACAGTAGACACATCTACATAAGGTAGGTGTGTAAGCTCCTACTGTACATGACAGATAGAGATCTACTTGATACAGTTAGTGGCAGCTAGACATTCATCTCCTTCTCTGTTTGGTCACCTGAGTCATTGCTAAGTTTCATTGACTCTGCTGAGTGTATCTCCATTGCCTGTAACGAGAGCTTGAACACTTGGGTCACAGCCGGACTTCTAACTCCACGTGTTTGGACCTACAGCCAAGTCCCACCTTGAATGTTTTTCTCATTCTAAATGGTGAAACTATCTTATCTGGTTTCACATTGTTCAGTTTGGGCATCTTTGAAAGGAAGAGACACATGTAGCTTAAGATAGAGAAGTGTTTTTCAGAAGTACTTTATGAACAATACAAATTGAGGTTGGCACCAAAAGAAGCAGTCCTGCCTGGTTCAGCAAAGTTCCTTCTCTCTGTGTCAGATTGGAGACCAGATCTGAGTTAAAACTAACCTAGCAAGAAATATGGTTCAAGGAGAGTGTCTCTGATGCAAATTACCGTAATTACCATATCTCTGTAATGATATTCAGAGAGAAAACTCCTTCACTGTTGTTACACTTCCTCCCAAAACTGGTCGCAAAACTAAGAAACTTCCATTTTTGCGAAGACTAGATTTTTCATTTATTTAAAAAGAAATCTAAGAAAGCAAGTCTGTATCTCCATCTAGTGAGCTGCACTAAATGACAGTTGTTATAATAAACACTGGTGTTCTTTGATCAATGCTGTTAATTAACTGGCTTATGCTTTGGGAAACTTGAGTAGGCTATATTTTTGCATTTTCCTGCTACTGGGGAGCTGTACTGGATGAAGCTAACTTACAGATGGTATTGCCTAATGGCTGGTCCCAGCCCCATCACTTTGCTAACCTGTGAAAATGTATAGTTAATCCGATAATATTTGAAACTTTCCTTCAAAACTGGAAAGAATTACTTCCATAGAACTTTTCTAAAGTATAAAATACCTGGAAATAATACACCTTTATCATCAGGTACTTCTTCAGAAGCGGAAACATGGAGCACCCTGGTGATAAACTGTTTAACACTACTGTGGAAGTGTTGCCAGCTGATGTAAGTCTTTTATTGCCAACTGTAATATACAGTGCTATTTCATTTTATAGAATGACATTCAGCATAAAATGTCATGCCCTAGAAAATATTTCTGGAGATTTTTATTTTTTACAGGAAATGCTAAGAAAAGAACTGATTGACCATGGAAGTAAACTTAACTACCCGGCAACCAAAGATGGATATTTAAAAATAGGTAAATTGTTTATTGTCACTCCAAAACCAGAAATTTTGTTCTTATGTATAAAATGTTTTTGCATTTGAGAATGTAATTAACTCTGTAATAAATACAACATTCCAAGGTGAACTAGTAAGAAAAAGAAACCTTTTATGCTACTGCATACTATAGTATATGGTGTTTGACCAATGACTATCCTATTTTGTTTTAAATACTGAAGAACCCTACCAGCAGTGGCAAAGCTAAAATATCTAATTAGAAGAACAACTAATTGCAGTCTCTGCAAGTTCTTAATAGGATAATTGACTCCAGTTTGGATTTTGCAGCCTTAGCTGAAGACAAGCATTTCTTATGACTATGACAACATGAACTGGTGCTCCAACCTGAAATGAAACATAACACAGTGCACCTTCCCCCTTCTTGCCCCCACCCTTGTCGCTTTCTTCTGTCTCTTCTACCACATAATTGCTCTTTTCTCCCAATGAACCACCTTCACCTCACCGGCACTTCTTGATTGCTTTGATTTGCACCTCTCGCCCACCTCCTCGTGGCTGTTTTGCTCTAATTAGAGATCCAAACCGAAATGCTGTCAGCTCACAGTTGCACGTGCGAGTTGATAGGAGATGAATATCGTACATGGGATGAGCATTTTTCATTTGTCTGCAGTGATTTTATGCCAGCTTAACAAGGGTGGTTAAAAAGCACTGAACTATTGAAGAAATGTGTCAGAATTGGTCCATGATTCCTAACATATCTTTTTAGAAATAATCGTACTTCTCAGAAAAGCTTTTTTAGATTTTTTAATGTGATCACGTGTGCCCTATGTATGTGGTCACTACTAACATATTTAGATTTATTTTTTAACATTTGTAGCTACAGGTTCTTAATTTTTTGTATTCTTCTCCAGCTCCTAGTTGCTGAAGGAATGAATCCTTCTTCTTGTTTATAGCTTTATCTTTCAGTTGTTATTGTTTGACCTTTTCTGAAAGATTTTTTTTCCCCAATGTTGTATTCCTCCAGTTAATTTATAATTTAGAGCTTTTGCCTAAGTTCACTTGGGAGCGTATTTCATTCTAATACACATTTGTACAGGTGTTGTTTTATTTTTTATTTAGGGGCTTTTGAAAATGGAATTGCAGAAGGCACTATCAATCAGTCAATAGGAAAAATACAGGCTATTCGTTTATCGGTCAATTCTGATTCTCCTGTCTGGGCAATACTTAGTGAGGTAAGCATGTTAATTAAAGCATTTTAATTTTAAAACTTTATTAAATCAGTTTCAGTTCTTCCTACCGTATAGTATTGATAATCATTAATTTTTATTTAATTTTTGATGGAATTTTGTGTGGAAATAAGTTTATTAAAAACTTATTTATTTATTTAAACTTGTTTATTCTAAACAAGTTTAGAATTATGTTAATTATTCAGGGGAGAAGTTAAATTTACTTCATAGAAAAAGTGCTGGAAATGTTCAAATGGGATGATTCTCCAGTTTTACAGTGCTGTCAGTATAACCACTAGAATTTGGGTCATCATAAACAACCAAAGGAGACAGGGAGGTTTTTCTAGCTTTTTCCAATCACCATGTTAGACATTAAATGTAATATGCAAACATTTTCAGATGAACATGTGATTTTTTTTATTCTTCAAGCTTCTCCCAAGTGTCTGAATGTGTTTGAACCCATAAGTAGAAAATATTCAGTATAAGTCACTGAAAAGAATTGCTACAGCCTTACACTATAGCCATAGCTGGAAGGAGGGAAAAGCTACTGTCTTAGGCAATGCTTCTGCAGATTTTAGAAAATAATATATTTTGTTTTTTTCAGGTACTTATCAAGACATCTGAAAACTGAAAAAAAAAAATACATTTTTGATGTGTGGCTTGTTACAGATTGTTTGAAAACTAGGCTAACAGCAACAAAAAAATGGCTGGGTAAAAAGAACAAATCCAAAACCATTTAATTCTTAATACTGTGTATTAGGAAAGAGTTGAGATAACTATTAAATCTTTATATAAAGAATATTAAAAGCTATAAAGAACCCCATGATATTAGTAATTTCTATAAAATGTTCTCAAGTAAGGTGCCATATGTAAAAATCTCACCTTAGCTTGGCAACATTCAATATATATTATTAACAATTGATACGATACAATTGTTACAGGCTGTCTCAGGGACTAAAGCATAAATGTATGAGAAGTTTCACCAAAACTAAAAATATGGACATTTTTGAAAAATATTAAGGACACAGTTTTCAGCTCCACTAAGAACACTGGTCAATTTTGGAGGGAAAGGAGAACTGAAGGAAAAGTCAATATTCATTGCAAGTATTTAGAGCAGCCCACAGAGATGGGACCAACTTAACAATATGAAAATAGATCTCAAACGTAACAGACAAAGTGTGTTTCAGCCTTAATATAGTGTTAGTTATGTTTAATACTTTTTTGAATGGGAAGTGCCTACAAGTTACCATTTGAGTAACTTGAAAGCTAAACAGGTGGTGTTTGGAGGATTGTAAAACTCTGCAGTGAATTATGCATTGAATTTACTACAGGAAATAATATGTATAACTATATTTTTGTAGAAAGAAAATCTATTTAAATAAAAATTTGGATCCTATAATTTGATAATCAGTATGTACTGATACTTAAATCCTGGTCACAAGACAAAACTCAACATAAATTTGAAAATAAAAGGTAAACCACAATAGTCTCGTCTGAAATGTTTTTGGGAAATGACAATCCACCTTGGACATCTACCCATTAACGTGCAGAATTCCTGTATCACTTCCTTAGCACTTGAAGCACGACTCATTCTCCTGCACGTCCACTGCATCCTAACAGCAGACAGCGAGAAATAAGCTGCACTGTACACTTTTGCATGGATTTGTATTAAATGGGTTAAATTAGTGTAGGATTGTATTCTTAATGCAAGAGTATTTTTATTTAGAATAAGATGAAATTAATTTTCTTATATTAAAAAAGTCCAGTTTTTTAAAGACCACCTCTAATAATATTTTTATAATTTACAGTATTGTTTATATACTGTGGTGCTATATATGTGTGTGTGTAGATATATATACACGTATGTACATATACATGTATTTCTTGGATCAAATATTGCAGCCTTCATTAGGTTAAGAGTTTAATGCAGGTTAAGAATTACTGCAGTAATCCAAGTGCTTAGATATACACAGAGGGACACCTTTATGCATCAGCACTTACAGTAAAAAGAAGGGTTGAGCGCAACGGAGACCAGCAGATCGTTAAAAAGCAGTGGCTAATACTGCAACTGGGGAAAGAAGGGAAATCAAGCGTCTCTGCATCAAACTACCCGGCATGAGAAGGGCAGAGCCGCCTCCCTTCGACCCTGCTCAGAATCGCCTTCCCGATCTTCTTTTTCCTTGCTGATACAGGAGTCTCAGACGTTTAGTCACGAAAACTTGTACTAGGGAAAAAACCCCCACAACTTAGATTACATTAAGGGAAGACAAAATTGAGTGCTATTAAGTCATTCTCTCTCTTAACCTGAAGTGCTTTAGCATCTTTGGGGAAAAACAAAGAAACTGAAGTGAATAGGACCCTTTACCCAAAAAGGCAAAGCAACAGATAACCTACAGAACACTTGTTTTTGGGTGGGTTTTCTTTTTTTTCCCCAGAGCTTTAGAAACTTGAATGGGTATGAAAATTATTAAAGTGTAGGTCTTCTCCTGATGCCTTTGTTCAGTTCTTAGCATAACATAGCTTTGACTACTCTCACTGAAATTGCATCATGTCGTGGGGATGATCTTCGTCTTCAGGATCTTGTCAAACACTTCAGAATGGCAAGTTCTCGTTACACCTGCCATCAAAAGATGAAAGCAATAGAAATCAAAGTAGAAAGATAATTTCTTGTAGAACATTTTATTAACTGAGGGATCTAGTAAAAAACTTAAAATCGTCTTTTGCCATTGCTTTCACTGCAAGAGAGTCACAAGCTGGGAGCAGCGTCTGCATCCAGGCTGCCTTACACCCACTTGTTACAGGGAAGAGTCACTGGAAGAAGGAAATTATTAGTCAATGAAAACACGGAAAATACTAAGGTAATGGATTTTGTTACCAAAACCTCTTATTTTCACAGTGAAATGAGATTTCACGCTAAGTGTTGAAGCGTAATTTCGAAAAGCTCAACAGAATACCTGAAATTATATTAGGAAGTGACTGGACTTTTTGTAAATATTTTATAAATACAATTTTTTCATTCTGCGCTGCCAGCTTTGTGCTTCATTCATACTGTTTCTATTTTTATGTATTTTACATAACCATTGTAATCACAGAATACACTTCCCATCACTTTGATGTAAACAAGGTTTTAAATGTTGACATAGTAAATAATGAATCCTTGCAGATGCACCGTTAAAGTAAAATTTTGCTTAGTCCTGATTCTTCCCTGTGCTTTGTGGAGCGCAGCGGTTTCTTGCACAATAGAAGCACAGCTTCGCTAGAAAACTGAAGGAACCATGGGAGAGGAACTCTGGATTTTCACTGAAGAAGAGATGGATTGTGAGCGTTACAGCCTCTGGAAGTTTAAGAAAAGGGAGTGTAATGGCAGTCCACTTGTGTACTTTTGCATGTTAATAGAGTGAATTAGCTGGGTTTGTTCCTAACAGTCTCTGTTAGGCAAGGAGCAGTTACAGAACACGTGCAGCTTGCTCTCCACCCTGCAAGCAAGGTCCTGCCTGTGGTTTTCCATTTAATAATCCTACGCGCTGAACCTGCACGTGCCTTCGCATGCCGTGGCTCTGAGGCCAGTTCAAAGGCTGCAAAGAGGCCTCCTCCTGGGAAGCTTCAGTTCAGGTAACGGATCCAGGGGATAAGGAGCATTCTCTAACTTTATGGGGGACTGGTTTTTGCAGCGTAGGCATTGCGATTGTAACTTCCAAACCCAAAGGCAGTAAGCCTAAGTCAAAAAACAACTAGGAAAGGAGTTTTGGATCCCATACCAGATCACCAAGCTCCTTCAATAGGAAATTTTACTTCAGTACTTTCATGTGGTTTAAAACGTAAGTCTCAAAAATATTGACTACCTCAGGGTCTTTGTACATGTACATAATCAGCTTAAATGTCTGTGTGTGGAGAAAGAACATTTTTCAAGCTAATTCAGTATTAATGACAGCTTGTTCAACCCATTTTGATTTTCACTGGAGCGCAGTTATTTATTTCTCTGAACGGTGTGTCTCCATTCTTGTCTTAAATCTTTTGAGTGACTTTTGAAAGGGGAATGCTAACATTTGTCTTCAATACAAAAGGCAGTTATGAACTTTACCGATTTTTTAAAATTTTTTATTACCACTAATTAGGTGGGCCCCTAATGTCATCAGTGTCACTATGACTTTTTGCACAGCTTAGTACAAGCACACACCTACTGCAAATGTTAACGGATGCTAAATGTACCCTGAGAAGAGACTAGACTCTTAACAGGAATATCTCTTAAAATTAATTAGGAAATATTTAATCCAAATTTGAAGATGTACTTGCTTATCGAATTGAAAATCTTCTCTCTCACGTGTTTGAGGAAGTAAGTGGATAGTGTCCCAGACACAAGGATCCCAGTTTTCCCCAACATTTGCTTTTTCTATTACTCATAAGTCACACATTTGTTAGCTGTATTACTGGTTGCAGAAACTAATTGTCTCACAGTGGTTTGGGTTGGGGGATTTTTTTTTAACTATTGTTTCTGTAAATGTAAGATTCCAGATAAGTCTTTCATAGATGCTTTACAATGAACAAGAATATTAACAACTAATTCTGCAGTAAGCAGAAATCCTTAATTCTGCAATCACTTCTAAAAGGATATGTGTATTTCAAGCTGCGAGAATAGTTTTCATCTGTCTTTGTTTCACGAGGGATTGCTCAAGAACATTCTTTAATTATTTTTTTAGCTAGAGATGTCTAAAGATTGAAATTTCTGTAGGGCTACAGTACCATTTCTCAAAAGTACCTTAAATAAGGATTTTAAATAAGGCATATCAGATCTTTCTGATCAGCATTAGAATCATAGAATCGGATGATTGAGAAATGGTACCGTAGCTTGTGTGTTAGTTTACAATGACCTTGTAATACTTGAAAGGCAGAATACCACAAAAATAAATATGAGCATTTGGATTTACAATTCATATTATACATTCTAATGGTAACTCCATCTGAGTCAATGAACTAATCTGTGGTAGACATAAACCAAATGGAGAAATCTATAAAAATTATCTAAGTTATAAATTATTTTAGATGGGAGGAAGCTTAATGGTGTATAGGCCATAATTGCTATGTCTGAAAGACAGTTTCCCCAACAGGGTAAGAATCAAATAACATAAAACAGATTCTTGTGACCCGAGCGCTGCCTGAGAGGGGCTTAGAGTTACGAGAAAAAAGTACCACTTATGGCTATCAACATTGCTGGTATTTCCTTCCTTCTTTTCTTTCACAGACCCCAGTTTCATAGGCAATAGAAAGAAAAGCTCTGCATATGTGCCTTAATAAGAATTTCTTGGGCAGTGAAATCTGCCTGCGTTTAAGGGGATGGCTGATACTGCAGTGACATGTGCCCTTGGCTGTGTAGGAGTGTACTTCTCAAAAGCAGACTTGAGTGAAGAGCTGCAGATGCACCCTTCAAAGAGATTCCACAGTAAGAATGAAAGACAGCGGCTGCAGTTAGATGGTTCATCTCACAAATACTGGTGTGATGGTTGGTGTCCAGAACCAACATTGAGCATGAAATGAGGGTGACAACCCTTACAGCCTTTGGCTAGGAGGAAGGCTTTGATGATGTGAGTCCTCAAGTGACACAATGTCACATGCAAACATACCAAACCCTGACCC